GTCTTTGACCGGCCTCTCTGGTTTACTGTATTTCACTGATAGTTTCTTCGTTGTATCGTAGAGCTGTTTCATATTTCCTTCTCTAGCAGCTTTTTCTGCCGTCGTTGCTAATTCTTCCACGTACTTCTTCCTGTCGGCTCTAATGCTCCTCTTCACTTGCTTGTTTGCTTCTATGTATTCAGCTTGTGCTTGGACTTTCTCTGCTCGTGTTCGGCTGTTGTTAATTGCTGTCTTCTTGTTCTTCCTTTCTTTGATCTTATCCAGTGTTTCTATAGAGATCCATTCCTTATGATGGTGTTTCTTTAGGCCCAGAACCTCTTGACACGTTGAAGTCAATGTTTCTTTGATGCCTTTCCAGTTGTCCTCCATGGTAGTTTCTTCTTCCTTCAGTAGATCTTGAAAGGCTTGGAACCTGTTGTTGAGAGCTATCTTGAATTCACTGAGTTTGTTAGTATCTCGAAGGAAGGCTGTATTGAACCTTTGTATTGCTGTTTGTCCACTTGTCCAGTTCTTTTTTAGCTTCAGTTTTAAATTGGCTACAACTAGGTGGTGATCTGAAGCTACGTCAGCACCTCTCCTGGTTCTCACATCTTCGATTGTCCTTCGGAATTTTTTGTTGATGCAAATATGATCTATCTGGTTCTCTGTAGTGTGGTCCGGTGAGATCCATGTAGCCTTGTGTATACGCTTGTGTGGAAATATTGTGCATCCTATGACTAATTTGTTGAATGCACACAGATTTGCAAATCTTTCCCCATTATCGTTTCTCTCTCCCAGTCCATGTCGTCCCATAATATCTTCATATCCAGTGTTGTCTATTCCGATTTTGGCATTTAGATCTCCCATCAGAATGGTGAGGTCCTTTCTTGGTCACTTCTCTATGATTGACTGCAGCCGCTCGTAGAATTGATCTTTAATGTCGTTGTTGCTATCATTGGTGGGTGCATAACGTTGGATAATATTCATTGTGATCCCCTCCTTCTTTGTTTTGAATGATGCTATGATGATTCTGGATCCGTGAGATTCCCATCCTACAAGTGCATTTCGTGCTACTTTGGACAGCATAAGAGCGACTCCCTGAGTGTGTAGAGCATCTTCCTCTTCGTGACCGGAGTATAGCAGCATCTCTCCCGTAGCTAGCCTTTTCTGTCCAGTTTGGGTCCAGTGGGTTTCGCTGATTCCCAGTACTGCTAAGTTGTATCTCCTCATTTCCGTTGCTATTTGGCTGGTCTTCCCGGTTTCCCACATTGTTCGAACGTTCCATGTACCTATAAAAATTGTTGCTCTGGTTGTTAGAAGGGGCATCGGCCTCGTGGCTTCCGAAGGAACTCGGCTTTCACCATGAAGCGTCATAATTCTTCTAAATGAAGACCTTCTAACTCTCAGGGCAGAGTTAAAATGGTTTGAATTATTTTTTCTGGTAGGCGTTTTTTTGGCGAGTTAGTTTTCTACGGGATGGGGACGCTAACCCCATGCCCAACCCTCCTCCTTTACCCGGGCTTGGGACCGGCAGTAACTCTAGGAGAGCTACAGGCGGAGTTTATCAAGTGTATATACTATACGATTAATGTATATACTAATTATTTATGCATAGAAATCTCTATTCAGTTCTTATTTCTATTGTTTACACTTGTGGAGATATGCCTGACAAACTAATTTTGTAAATAGTTTTTGATGTTATTTGTCAATTTTTCAACGCATGTACATTTATCATTAAATGATTGTACGTATTGTTTAAGTGTCTGACCTTGGACACTTCGTTCCGTTGTGTTACATTCATAGCATGACACACTCTGTTAACTGCTAACAAATACACTGTTACATACATACCTCTCGTTCTCCATTCGCTTGTGATTGTGTTAACTGAACTCTAAATCAAATACTGTCTACATTTATAGACTGTAATCGGAATATATCATAATCTACGTTGGATTATACACTGGGAGTTCATCAACCTTACTGGAACCATCAATCATCTATAATTGTAGATTTTTGGTACCAGACTCAATCAGAACACGCGCAAACCTGTTTAATTAAGTAACGTCCCTCATTTTTTTGTGTTTATAACATTTAACTGATATATATTAACATTATTATTTGTACTTAATAACTCTGTTATCATTTTTGAGTTCGCATATTGTATGATCCACCACAATTATCTGGTGATCCCGACGTGATTCGAACACGCAACCTTCTGATCTGGAGTCATTATGTATCATTTGATTGCCAAGTTCTATATTATGAAATTAGTTAGATATATGTAAGTTTGATGCTTTCTTTTTCTTTTTCTTCTTCTTCTTTTTCATTTCATCGAATCAATATTTAATCATCTTTCTCAATCTCAATTATTCCCATGAACATCATTACAATCGAATTGACAATTGTATTCCATATTGTTTTGATTAAGATTTCTAGTGTTACTTTAAAGTTTCATATATTATGTAATCATCTATGGTAAAGTGTTGACTACAAAATTATTGCATCGTGAATGAGATAGACCATTACTACTATCATTAATAATATGCTCACAAATGTATTTGTGGAATGATACTAATAATATAAATAATAATAATAATAGTAGTAGTAATAATAATTAGTCGAATTGCGTTGGCAAATCTTTTGCAATATTGCTTATATCATTACATTCATATATATATAATGGATTGGGAAATAGAAGCAGATATGAAAAGGATGAATAACAACTGGAAGGAGCTGGAAAGGATTGCCCAGGACAGGGTTAGATGGAGAATGCTGGTGAGCGGCCTATGCTCCTTCACGAGGAGTAACAGGAGTAAGTAAGTAAGTAATATATAATGGATTGGTTCATAGAATGTTTGACAATGATAACGTTGAGTACATTGATTGGGTTCATACAAAAATTATCCCTAAAATAAATAAGATATAGAAATAGAATATTTGAATCACCTATGATAACATCATTGTAAAGAAACAATTCATATTTAAAAGTGATTATAAATAGAGAGAGAGAGAATTACATTGTTAAATGATTGAATCTTAACACATTTAGTGATATTGATAATTTAATGGATTAATGTCAAACAAATTATAGTCTGAAACTAAGGTTGTGGTATATGCTACTGATGCTGATCGATAATAAGTAGTATGTATTTATCAATAGAAAGTAAACACTTGGAAGCAGAAAGTTAAGATCAAAGAAGAAATAGAACGAGGACAAAGAATGATTAGTGTGGAAATGAAGGAACAGTCAAGTTTGAGACGATTGATTGACATTTTGCTGTTTGGTACCTCGCATGGACAACAGTTTATAAATAATTTTACCTTTTTCATGATGGTTGTGGTAGTTGTGGAAGTTTCAGTTCCATACAGTAGAATCGACTGTCTTGAAGTTCGCATAGAAGATTGTGACTTTGATATTGGTTGATAGACAGTTGTTTTGAGTTGCATATGTTGTTTGTTCAATTGTAGGAAGCGGTCCTTCCTTTGTCGATCCTCTCCTTTACATCTGCATCCTATCTTCCTTTCTTCATCGATGATGCAGCTGATCACCAGGTGTGTGAAAGATTCCATATCATCCAGAGTTTCTCCATCAAGTGTGATTGGATTGGTGTTCTTCGGGTTGTAATTGAGGATGTTGTTTTTTCCCTTGTGTATGTTGAGGCCTACTGATGCAGAGCTTGCTGCGACTACACTAGTTGTCTTCATCTCGAAACCATTCACTAGTTTACATACGATTATTGCTTAGTTAGTAGGTTTGTTATTACTAATTGAAGTTGGATTTCATGAAAGATTGATAACAACAAGAAAACAATTGAAAATTAAGGACTATTGAACATGTTTTTTTTCAAAACATTCTCTTTAATTTATTAAAGAGGTAACACCTTTGAATGTTAAAGGTACTAGTTACTTTTTAGGTATCATTACCAAGGTTTGGTTTGATAATTTCGAACTTAGATTAGAACTAGGATTAATTTTAATTTGATTATTTAATTCTCTGAAGAAGTGGCTTACAATAAGTCACGAAACGTCAGAAAATCTAGTTTTTCTACTCATTGGGACATTAAAAATATATTATTTATCTGTATTAGTTACGTTGTTTATATACAATTGATTATATTGAAACTAAATATAATCAATACTTAGTTGCCAATTGTTTTTCTTAACAAAAAAACTATTAAGAACTACCATATGTTGATGAATTAGTTAACAATAAAAAAGTACGAATACAACACTGTTGGGAACGCTAAATACCCAGAACTCACTTGGTGAAGGTCGTAGTTTTGTAATTTCATTCTGGAAATTTGAACTTCATGTTTTTTTCGCACCGACAGATGCCTAGTTAAACTATAGCTTACATTTACCACTCGGAAATCCTTGACTGTCATTGGTTGACGGACTTTTTTTATTACGCTATTTTGTCGCTCTCCTAAGGGGGTTTCTACCATTGTATAAATAAGCTTGATTCGTGCGTTTAGTGACCTTATATTTACTGGGTGCTTGTAGAATACATTCTGTACGCCTCATCAAGACTTCTTGATCTAGTTAGCAGAGCCGGGGACAACAGATAAGAATAGTCTATCGTGTCAATATATCTTTAACTTTCGTTCCGTTTACCAAGTAAGGTGGACTCGTGATAATATTCAAGCATATCAAACATATTGATCATATCACAATAAAACAATGAATGAATGAAAAAAAAACAATAGGTAACTTTTGATGAAGTTTTGTTCTCTGAGCTGAATGGTTTGGTCGTGGAGCTTTAATCGTTCTTCTTAACGAAATCATCAGCACAAACTTCAGATAAAAGTGAAGTGTTCGAATTTCTCCATATGTGTTTCACAGCTTGTTCTGTACACCTTGACGTTGATTGGTTCTTATTGACCTTAAATTTGTCAATGTTTACTTCTTTGTTTTGGTTGTGTCTCATAAACCATCCAGCTCAGAGTACAAAACTCCATCAAAATCATCCACCTGAACTACAAATCTTCTCCACCATCTCAATAGGTAACTTTCTTCAATGATTATACTCTTACCACATTTTTATCATCATTTAATTTATTCATTAATTCCATAGAAATTTGTTGAGATATTACATGATTCCAATAAATAATCTCCTGTTTCACTATATACCTTAATAAACAGAATGGTAAATGAAATTCTATCATTAATTATTTAAGTATAAAATAAAATGATAATTAGTTTATTGATTAAACTAAAATAAAATACAACAATCGATAATATTGATTAATAAAGTTTGTTATGATATTACAAATCAGTTCTCAGTTAGTCAATCAGTCAGTCAGTCAGTCGGCTACAATGCAGGACCAGGCACATATATGCATCGGTCGAAGTTGCCATACTTCATTAGCCCAACAAGATGAACATCGAATTTATAGAGGTAGTTACTTCAACGGTAGTAAAAGAAAGATTACATATAAGGATGTAATAAAACAGAAAGAAAGAGTTAACTGGTATAAAGGAAGGTATAAAGTAATTTTAATCTCAAAGTTTAAGGAGTAGACAAAGAATATATATATATATATATATATATATATATATATATATATATATATATATATATATATATATATATATATGCGTACGCCATTGTGACCGATTCTGATCCATTTCACACAGTCTTCAACTCTCTGTTATGATAGTTGCACGGACACTAACCAAGTATTCATCATCTACCAACATGTCTAAGACTAGAGGTTAGTGATTTCAAGCAGTGATACCACGTTTTGATTGGGCCGCCCTTAAGTTTCTTCCAACTGTCTTCAATACAAGTCAGCATTGTGTGTCATGGTAATCGGTATTTATGTATACGCAACACGTGTTCCAACCATCTCAGTCGATGAAGACTTACAACCTCTTCAACTGATTTACCATCATTCTTTAATACTCTACGTCTAACCTCACTACTACTTTCCCGGTGATGGCAGCAGATGCAAGCAATATTTGTAAGACATCTGTGATCAAATACAAATCAATTCTACACTAATTAATATCTCAGAAATGACTTTACAAGATTTTTGTTTGATTTAAGATTTCTTTACTAGAGTTTATAAATAAAAAACTCAAGCTAGATGACTATGGTCGAATGCGATACTTTTGTAATCTAAGCCACTTTAATCCGTTGAGTTATTGTACGGATTACTTAATATGCACATTTTTTACGATAACCCGAAACGATTGTTTTTAAGGCGGATCTTAATCGTTATACAATCTGACAGATTATGTTGTGATTATATGTCTAGGTTACAGTTTGCTTTATAAGAAACAATCAATAAGATGCCCTATATTTCATTCTCATGCTCATCCATAATTGTCAGTAAACAGTATTTTGTGGGGCTCTAATTGGCGGTATCGTTACGTTATACATTAACAGGGCACATAGGCTACAAGTTATAACATGTACCAAAATGCGGCAAATGTCTGCTGATTCTTGATTTTCAATGGTTACCTGATAAGATCAGTTCATGATGTCAATTATAATATGGTTATATAGTTGAGATACACTCCTTTACATTATTCTACATTTTACCTAGGTAGTAGTTCTTTTGGATTAATACTGAAGATCAGTAATCATAATCAATAAAATGAAGTATATGATTTCCAAATACATCAACAATATTCACAAAACAGCTAAAAACAATCTCTGACATATTTAACTTACTTTGAAAGATTTGCTGTCGTTAGTGGTAAAACATCTGGGATGTATTCATTAATGAATGCATTTGTAGATATTTTATTTGATCCAGTAAAATGGCGTGAATGATCATTGTCATACAGTGATTCATTTGCTTGATCCAAAAGTAACGAAGTAGTTGTAAAGTCATTATAACTATCTTCGACTTTTCCAATTTGATCAGATTTTGATATATCGCTTAGCTCTGATCCCATAAGGCTAAGTAAAGTTGTATGTCCACGTCTTAGACGTAAGTTTAATCGTTTCTTCTCAGTATTATCACTATTCGTTGTAGAATATTTTTGAAACTCCATAATTGATTCTTCACACAGTTTATTTGACTGTGATGTTGGACTATTTAAGCAAACTTTTTTGAATCATAGTCTCATTGTTGATTTCTTTGATACATCGAAGTACATTCTTCCAAGTTACTCCAATGTTCTACATGTGAAAAGTTTACAATGACAAAGGAGATGATAATTATTATTGAAATATTTCACTAAAAATTGAATTTACAATTGTGATTTCAATGTTCATTATTATGATTGAGAATACAAAACAGGACTGCTCCATATGTTTAGGTTCGTAATTGATTAGTTTCCATTGACATATGTGCATCCTTAGTGAACCGCCTTAACATCATCATCATCATCTAACTAAAGGTTTAATTAAAGTTACGTAGTAAGTGTCAGTAAAATACCGGAAGCGCTTTTCGTCGCATGTGTACTATATCAATTAAATATACCTTCATTTCAATGTTGATACTTATAATAATACTTGTTTATGTTAGAAGAGGAAGACACTGGGTTCGAGTCCCATTGTAAATATCAACATTAAAATACATGTTCAACTAGTTGAAAAGTCCCCAATGAAAAAATACCATATTTTCTATTTTCCTTTACCAGATACAATCCTGATTTAATAAAGACTCTAGTATTATATAAAGTTGTCTAATAAGTTATAGCTAACTTCAATGAATGATAAAGATGACAGATTAAATAATTTTTTCTCTGGTTAGCGTTTTTTTTAGCGGGTTAGTTTTCTATGGGATGGGGCCGCTAACCCTAATCTTCCTCCTTTATCCGAGCTTGAGAACGGCAGTAGCCCCCGAAGGGACTCCAGGCGAAGTCGATTTGATCAACTTAGAAATATCTAGTTAAATCACAGCTTATATATTGTAATTGTACATGAAGTTAATTACTGTAACTTACAATAAATAATACAAAGAATATTCTAGATATTATCAATGAAGATGGTTAGATATATCAAGCTACAATTTAATGAAGTCCTTAAATATTGTTTTCAAGAGACTAATCTGCTTTTGAGTGTCCATCAAGAAGATTGTATGACTTCAGAAAATGATACTCTTGAAAGAAAAGATTCCCACATCAAATTATTTCATTTTATTTTTACTGACTTTATAGCTTCATGTTATAAGATCCGATGAACAAAAATAAAAAAGAGGGGTGGTTAATATCAGTTAACCATTTGATGCTATGTAATATATTACTAATAACATACATCCTAAATCCGATGTTTTGTCATTAATCCTATTTGAAAGTATCTTTATTACACTATTAGTAATATGATACAATCCTAACAATAGAACTACAAATCTGGGTATTCAATCACCAGCTTATGCATATTTATTTTCTTCATGGAAATATACACCAAATCTGATATTACTATTTCATTATAAGAGATTTGGTTTGAAATAGTGTCAACATTAATATTAAAAGCCATTAAGTACTGAACTGGTGTTTCGACTCCGTGTGTTATTTGACAGTTAATTGACGATTCATTAGATACATTCCATAAATATGTGATGTATACTACTTATGTTGTCAGATATAAGTGGTATGTAACGCCATTCAGAGGTGGAATGCCTGTCTGAAAAAGGATTGAGAAGATTGAACTGAAAAACAGTCGAATAGGGAACAGAAAGGAATTGGAATAAAATCAGAATTGGAAGAATCATGAAGAATGTAAGTGACAACTGATGGAAGATGTGCAAATGAAGTATTTGTTGTATGGTTTTCATAATTTACAAAGACACTGTAATTGCAAACGAGATATTAATACTATTGTCCGCACCAAGTCCACGCTCACTACAGATATACTCTCTTTAAGATAAACTTATGAATAATCAGATGAACTAGTTTATGTATTATCACAAACTTTAATATTATAGACGTTTCAGTTGTTTTTCAGATGACTATTTTTATTCTTTGCGTTAAAAAAACCAGTTCGCAGTTAGCAATATTATGCAATTATAGTAGTCAGATGTATACTGTGAAGACCAACTACACATTTAGGCTTTTTAAGCTATTGCTCAAAAATCTGGATGCACTAAAGACGTTGATCAACAGTCAAACAATGATTGAGGTTGTAGTGGCTGTGCTTCGTTAACCAATCACCCTCATAACCGTTATCATATAATCATCAACGGTGTTTGGAATCAGAAAGCAAAGAGAAGTGTAGTGACTCACATTTACCACGAGAACACGACTGGTTTAATAAAAACAATTATTATTATAACCGGCTGTACCAGTGTTTGTTTTAACGTGATTTTGTTTGGCTGTGCTAATGACAGCTATTTTGTGCTTCCATTCTTTTACTTACACTTTGATTGTAACTTCGTGCGAATTCGGTTACGTTCTGTAACCAAGCTTGTATCCTGGCACGATCTCGGTATCCTCTCGATACCACAAGATCGCCAGCAAATATACACCTCGATTTGGTCCATTAATTGCCTTCTGGTATTTGGCTTCTCGGGGATTTTATGGATTTATTTGGTTACGTCCAACCTTCGCCTTCTGATTAACTTGGCACGTGTTTCTCTGTAGCGGTGTTCATAGTTAATCTCAACCCGACACCACACTACAGATGCAGCAAATACAGTTTTATTAACAGATAACTCAGACCACAAAGCAGAAAGGCGAATGAGTAAGTTAGCGAGTCGTGAGTGTGTAGGATTATATATAAGCAATGCTCAAGCATACATATTTCATACAAGCACAACAATAATAAAGGTACAATGATATAGATAAGCTGTTATAGTACGGAAGACTCTGCCCTCTAAATAAGCTAACAAAAGGGCTTAACCAAATTAAATGTGAACAAACTCAACTGCACGTGAGTTGCTATAAGGTGTTTCTATCATCAAATTAGAGTACTTCTACAACTGTTAATTAAATATTCAGGAGTAATTACCCAAGAACGTACGTTCCGATGTTTCAAAGATCAAATACGAGACCAGTCATGTCGTAATTCATTTTTAGCTAGTGAAATATAAATTGCTATTGCTGGAGTGGTTTTAGAATAATGAATATTTGGTGTCGATAAAGCATCCATAGTGTTGTTGTGAACAATATCACGGGTGGGAACAATCGAATGTACATGACAGAAACTTACAAGACTTGGTAACTAAATCTAACAATCATATAGTAAATGCTTAATTTGCAAAATGACCATCACTTGTCTCAAAATGACTTAGACTTCATTGTTCCTGCATTTTCATACAAATTGCATTCTGTTTCCATTCGTTACTGTTCGATACTCTTGTCTCTCCCTTGCCAGACATTCTGTTTACGACTAACATAATATACTAATGTCGATATAAGTAGCACACACCACAGTATTTTTATGTTCATAATCGATATAATAATAAGATTAGATTTCCTTTATGTATCGTGAAATTTTTCCCGGAAATACATAATTGATTATCATGTCATAGTCTGACACGTTTTTAAATGAAATTAATGATAGAAAGGGAAATAATTAGAAGACTGAAATTAATGAATACATCAGTAATCGAATCTATGCTATTCATCTAAAATATGTTTTTAACAAAATTATTTTATGAAGTTTTGCCTGATATATTCTGGACAAATCGATTTTTAGTTTCAATGGACGAATGTTAAACCACCATTGAAATCCTGGAAGCACTGGACGGTCGATTTGTTCTAGTACGATACTCCTCAGAAATTTGCATCCACGATCCCTCATTTGGGACTCGAACTCGTTGCCTTCAGTCTCGTGGGCGAACGCTCAACCTCTATACTCAACAATCTCTACAACCCTACACTGATAATTGTCATGTGCTCACTAGTAACTGGCTTCAAGATGAGTTTCTTGGAGTTCTAGTGAGAAGCCGTGGTCAAAGGAGTTCTTATCAATTTTCGATCTGAACTCCTGTAGTTATCTGATAGAGTGCTGTGAATATATCCTTCGATCTCTGAGTCAAGTGCATGTATAGTTTCTAGACCATGGTTGTTAGGTTCTAACAAATTACTCACTCTAATATTCGGTAAGATTAAGCCATTTTCAGGTATGGTGGGGTTAGGTCCAGTGGTACTTTAGGAATTCGGCACTGTATTCTAAGACCGAGTACGGATTCTATCAAAGACTAATCTCCCAAGCAAACACTGTTTATGACTCTCTTTATTTTCTGTTTCTGCACTGCCATCCATTTCTCATCACACCCGAATAGAGCTGGAGTTTGGGGATATTTAATAAAACTTGAGTGAAAGAAAAGTGACAATTCCATTTTTCCCCCGTGATGTAAACTATTTGGGAGAAATGTATCCTCTCCTTCCGAGAACGTAGACAGTTTGGGTGGAATGTCTTCGTGAAGGGGAACTTTGCAGACTGACTGAGGTGAAGTATGCGTTCAGATATCGCACCTAGAAACTACAATCTATTTCAAAATGACATGAAATACGATAACATAGTTCATGATATTAACGTACTACTGTCATTATTGAATAAGTAAATTCTGAATGACAGTTGTTCGTGTTCTTCGCTTTCTGTTTAGCGAAAAATGTTTGCTATGTTGGCAGGTCACCACATTTTCTACAACCTTATGCGATGCATGTATGTCGCTGCGCTATGTGAGTTTTTGTGTTCCACCAGGATAATTCTATTCAGATTAATGAGAAAGCTAAGAGACTTAGAGCAACAGTTTACGTATCGAAAGCTCCAAATTGTCATGGAGCAACACGTTACAGAAGTTGGGATAGAATTGGAAGTAATTTTATGGAGAAATGTGGTCTGCCTTTAAAACGAACAAAAGAAAAAAACGAGAGAAAAGATAACAGGAAATGTCTTCCATGTCTATTTCAACAAAAATATGAGCCTTTATCAGATGCGAAGACCATCTTGATAGTTCGAACACTCCTGTTGTGTCCAGCAAGCAACCATTTCGTAGGGCCTCTGGATAATGATGAAAGGTTATTGGGATGCTTGAATAATGTTTTAATAAGATGACAACACTGTTGGGCTTCAGCGCCAAACGGCTGATCAAAAGAAATGG